CCCACCAATTCCCCCCGTGTGCCCCTCCCCCAAGTGCACCCACTGATTCACACTCTTCCCCCCCCCCACCCCCCCCCCCCTCCAATAGACTGTGCTGAGTATCTGCTCCCCCCCAGGGCTACTGGTTACAGGACGGGCGGAGGCAGGGAGCCGGACTTCTCTCCCTGGCTCGGCCTTGGGTGGAGCATGTCCGTCGCCACTGGTGCTACCCCCCTTCCTCCCCCAGGAGCATCTCGGTGCCGTCCGAGCCCACCCCGGACCTGCCCCCTAAGATGAGTGACACCTACGCGGTGGTGAACAAGTTCCGCCGGGGGGGCGGGCCGGCGGCGGCCTCCTCCCGGCAGACCAGGCCTGGCGGGGGCAGCCCCGAGTGGTCCCCCATCGACCCCAGCGGCTTCGGGGGGCTGCAGGCCCACTCCCTGCCCGGGAGCCCCGTGAAACGCCTGCCACCCAGCCCCAGCTGCGAATACACCCCCAACTCCACCAGCGCAGGTACGGCAAGGGGACCCAGGAGTCCGGGACCATGTATCTGATCTGGGGGGGGACCCAGGAGTCTGGGGCCAGGAGGGACCATGGGTCTGATCTGGGGGGGGGGAATGGGATGGGACCCAGGAGTCCAGGCCCATGGCTCTGATGCAGAAGGGGGGGGACGCGGACTCAAGAGTCCTGGGGTGGCTCTGACCTAGGGAGGTGGGACCCCCAGCTGCCCAGGGGGGCCATGCGCTGATCCCTGCCCCTCTCTCTACTCCAGGTGACGCCAGCCCCCGGGGCCCCCCTTCGCCCTGCCCCAGCCATGGGAAGACCGTGCTGCCCAGTGTGAAACCCCTGGTGAGTTCTTGACCCCCTGCCCAGCCAGCCGCAGCCAGAGGGGGGCTCGAGGCCGGTAGGTCAGGCGGGGAGGAGGGTTTGGACTCAGGAGGCCTGGGTTCTCTACCCGGCTCTGGGAGGGGAGTGGGGTCTGGTGGGTTAGAGCAGGGCGGGCTGGGAGCCCGGACTCCTGGGTTCTCTCCCCAGCTCTGGGAGGGGAGTGGGGTCTGGTGGGTTAGAGCAGGGCGGGCTGGGAGCCCGGACTCCTGGGTTCTCTCCCCGGCTCTGGGAGGGGAGTGGGGGCTGGTGGTTGGGGACGAGGACATGAGTCAGTTTCTGTCATTCATTTTTCTCCATCTCATCTCCAGGGTTTTCTGGCGTCTCCCCAGAAGAAGGGTGAGTGGGGGGGGTGGAGGAGGGCCGGGGCTTACACAGATAAACAGGGGGAGGCTAGTTCGGTACCTGGATGGGAAACCCTGGCAGTGGGAGTGCATGCGGCATTCATCACAGCTTCGCACCCATGGCTTTCCCCAGCCACAGCTGCATCTCAGCGCTGGCTGAGCTAGCCCAGTGCGGTGTTGTATGGCCGTTCCCCAGCCGCCCCGCCCCAGAGGTGGCTGCATCTCAGCACCGGCTGAACCGTCCCTCTGCGGCCTTGTGTGTGCTTGTTCCCCAGCCGCCCCGCCCCAGAGGTGGCTGCATCTCAGTGCCGGCTGAATCGTTCCCCAGCCGCCCCGCCCCAGAGGTGGCTGCATCTCAGTGCCGGCTGAACCGTCCCTCTGCGGCCTTGTGTGTGGTTGTTCCCCAGCCGCCCCGCCCCAGAGGTGGCTGCATCTCAGTGCTGGGAGAGCCATCCCTCTGCGGCCTTGTGTGTGCTTGTTCCCCAGCCGCCCCGCCCCAGAGGTGGCTGCATCTCAGTGCCGGCTGAGCCATCCCTCTGCGGCCTTGTGTGTGCTTGTTCCCCAGCTGCCCCACCCCAGAGGTGGCTGCATCTCAGCGGCGGCTCTAACAGGAGCCAGGGAGGCCTCATTGTTTTCTCTTCCGCCAGCCTCCAGCTCCCCCCGCCTTGAGTCTACGTCCAGCTACGAGCCCGTGGACGCCTCACCTGGAAGGGGCTGCAGCCCACTCACCTCTCCGGGCAATGGTCTTGGTAGGACGTGGGTGTGAGAGGGGTACAGTAGGGGGGCAGCCCCCAGGATGGGGGTGGGGCAGGCCCCGGCTCTGATTGGGGATATGAAGGAGGTGATGGGGGAGAGCCCAGGGCTGTCATGGGGAGGGGACCCAGGAGTCCTGGGCTGGGCGGGGGGAACCAGCAGCCGTTTGGATCTGGGGAGTCTGGACGGGGGGTGGAGCGGTAAAGGCCCCTCCCTCATTGTTGTCTCTCCCCCAGGCTATAACTTCCGCATCGGGAAGCCAAAAGGCCCCCGCGACCCACCGGCTGAGTGGACGCGGCTCTAGGGGGAGTGGGGGGGGGCGCCAGGGCCTGTGCCCCTCCCACCCCAACCCCAGATGGACTGAGCCGAGCCGCGGCCCCAGCATCACCCCCGGCACAGAGCGAACCGCCATCAACTGACACCAGGACTCCTGGGTTCCCTTCCGGGCGCAGGGAGTTGAGACTGGGAGCCAGGACTCCTGGGTTCCCTTCCGGGCACAGGAAGAAGAGTAACAAACTCCACCTTCAAATCAGTAGGGCACCGCTGTGAGCTGGGCCCCACAGCTTGGGGGCATGGGGCTAAATCCCACCCCCGGCAAGATGGGAACAGCTGTGAACAGACAGCAGCAGACACCAAACCAAGGGTCAAACCAAGCTGTGTATTAAAGCAGACCCTACAAAAATAAAAATGTGAAAACAACAGCTCTGCTGGTGCTTCCCCCTCCACCGCAGGGCGATACCCACGGGGCCGGGGCAGCACCCCGCTGGGCCGGCCTGGGACCGGAAACCACAGCTGGAGACGTCGGCATCCTTCTGGGCCAGGGCCTGTCCTCTGCACTCCGATGCTCCAAACCGCTCCAGGTTAAACTCCCAGCCGGCGCCGAGCCGAGCGAGCGCCCCTGCGATCTCTGGCTGCACGGGCCCCACGTCCTGTGTCCGAGCGCGAGGGGGCGGCCGCTCTGGGCCAGGCCTGCCCCTTACTCGGCGCTCAGGAACTGCCGCTTGCGGGCCGTGTTGGTGTAAGGATGCCAGCGCCACTCCACGTCGGCCGTGGCTGCCTGCTCCAGCGTGCCCAGCTTAATCATGTACACTGTAACGAGGGAGGGGCGAGGGGGGTCAGCGGGGTGCCCCCAGGAAGCACCCGCTGCCGGGGAGCCCCCCACCCCCATCGCTCAGGGGGCGAGGGGCATGATGGGACACATTTTCTATAATCAATTGATGATGCCCATGTGTGCCTCAGTTTCCCTTGGATTCTGCACAGCTCCCCCGCATGGCGGGAGCTATAAACCAGCACTGGGGGGTGTCTGGCCCCCTGGGCTGCCATGACTGGGTCAGTCAGCAACTGCTAGGGGGGGGCTGAACCAGAGTGCCTTGCACAGGCATCACAGAAACTTGGCGGAATGAGGATAAGCACTGGGACACGGTAATACCAGGGGACAAAACCAGTCATGCCGGGGGAGTGGCACTAGATGTGAAAGAAAGCGTAGACTCAAAATCTTAAATGAACCAAACCGTACCATGAAATCTCTCTGGCCAGTACCTCTGTGCTCGACTAATAAGACTAGAGCGGGAGGGATATTACCGACCACCTGGCCAGGACCGGGAGAGTGACTATGAAATGCTCAGGGAGATTAGAGAGCTATAAAAATAAACTCAGTAATAATGGGGGATTTCAACTACCCCCACACTGACTGGGTCCATCACCTCAGGACAGGATGCGGAGATAAAGTTTCTTGACACCTTAAATGTCTGCTTCTTGGAGCAGCTGGTCCTGGAACCCACCCGAGAAGAGGCAATTCTTGATTTAGTCCTAAGTGGAGATCAGGATCTGGTCCAAGAGGTGAATATAGCTGGATGGCTTGGTAATAGTGACCATAATATAATGAAATGTAACATCCCTGTGGCAGGAAAAACACCAGAACGGCCCAACACTGTAGCATTTAATTTCAGAAAAGGGAACCACACAAAACCGAGGAGGTTAGTGACACAGACATTAAAAGGTTCAGCGCCAACCGTGAAATCCCTGCCAGCCGCGTGGAAACTTTTTAAAGACGCCATAACAGAGGCACCACTTCAATGTATCCCCCAACTTTAGTAAGAGAATCAAACCAGAGCCGCCGTGGCTAAACAAAGTAAAAGAAGCAGTGAGAGGCCAAAAGGCCTCCTTTAAAATGCGGAAATTAAAGCCTAGCGAGGAAAATAGAAAGGAGCATAAACGCTGGCAAATGAAGTGTAGCCAAAGACTCCGAAAGTAACAGCAAATTTGTTTTTAAGTACATCAGAAGCAGAAAGCTACTAAACCACGGGGGCCACTGGACGATCGAGGTGCTAAAGGACGATAAGGCCATTGCAGAGAAACTAAATGAATTCTTTGCAGCCGTCTTCACGGCTGAGGACGTGAGGGAGATTCCCAGACCTGAGTCTTTTTAGGTGACAAATCTGAGGAACTGTCCCAGGCTGAGGTGTCATTAGAAGAGGTTTGGGAACAAATTGACAAACTAAACAGTAATACGTCACCGGGACCAGATGGCATTCACCCAAGAGTTCTGAAGGACTCCAATGCGAAATTGCAGGACCTAACTATGGTATGTAACCTAGCATTTAAATTAGGTTCTGTACCAAATGACAAGGACAGCTAATGTGAAGGGCTCCAGAGATTATCCCGACAATTACAGGCTGGTAAACCTGATTTCAGTACCAGGCAAACTGGTTGAAATTCTAGTAAAGAACCAAACTGTCAGACACAGAGATGAACATAATTTGTTGGGAAAGAGTCAACATGGTTTTAGTAAAGGGAAATCGCGCCTCGCCAATCTACTAGAATTCTTTGATGGGTCAACAAGCATGTGGACAAGGGGGATCCAGTGGAGATAGTGTACTTAGATTTTCAGAAAGCCTTTGACAAGGTCCCTCACCAAAGGCTGTTAAGCAAAGTGAGCTGTCACGGGATACGAGGGAAGGTCCCCTCATGGATCGGTAACTGGTTAAAAGGTAGGAATAAATGGTCAGTTTTCAGAATGGAGGGGAGTAAATTGTGTCCTCCCCAGGGGTCTGTACTGGGTCCAGTCCTATTCAACATATTCATAAACAATCTGGAAAAAGGGGGTAAACAGTGAGGTGGCAAAATTTGAGATGATACAAAACTACTCAAGATAGTTAAGTCCAGAGCAGACTGCGAAGAGTTACAAAGGGACCGAACAAAACTGGGTGACTGGGCAACAAAATGGCAGATGAAATTCAATATTGATAAAGGCAAAGTGATGCACATCGGCGAACAGAATCTCAACTACACATATACAATGATGGGGTCTGAATTAGCTGATACCACTCACGAAAGATGTTGGAGTCACCGTGGAGACGTCTCTGAAAAACATCCACTCAACGCGCAGCGGCAGTCAAAAAAACGAACAGAATGGTGGGAACCATTAAGAAAGGGGGAAATAAGATAGGAAATATCCTATTGCCTCTATATAAATCCATGATACGCCCACACCGTGAATACTGCGTGCAAATGTGGTCGCCCCATCTCAAAAAAGATAGATTGGAATTGGAAAAGGTTCAGAAAAGGGCAACAAAAATGATCAGGGGTCTGGAATGGCTTCCGTATGAGGAGAGATTAATCTTTCAGCATGGAAAAAAGACGATTGGGGTGGGGGGGGGGAATATGATCGAGGTCTATAAAATCATGACTGATGCAGAGAAAGTAAATCAGGACACGTTATTTACTCCTGCTCATAACACAAGAACTAGGGGGTCACTCAATGAAATGAATAGGCAGCAGGTTTCAAACAAACAAAAGGAAGTATTTCTTCACACAACGCAGTCAACCTGTGGAACTCCTTGCCAGAGGATGTTGTGAAGGCCAAGGCTAACAGGGTTCAGAAAAGAACTAGATGATTTAATGGAGGATCGGTCCATCAATGGCTATTAGCCAGGCTGGGCGTGGATGCGGTCCCAGCCTCTGTTTGCCAGGAGCTGGGAATGGGCGACAGGGTCTGGATCACTGGATGATTCCCTGTTCTGTTCATTCCCTCGGGGCACCTGGCACTGGCCATTGTCAGAGGACAGGACACTGGGCTAGATGGACCCTTGGTCTGACCCAGTCTGGCCGTTACGTTCTTATGAGGGGCCCTCAGAGACGTGACTCACGTTTCATCTCGAAGCGCGGCCCCACCTCAGACAGCTCGATGTTTCGGTGGTCCAACTTCTTATAGACGTGATGCCTGCGGTGGGCACAGGAGAAAGGGGTCACCCAGCGTGGGCCTGGCTCTCAGCCCCCCCCCGCCAGCCCCCATTCCCCTCCCAGAGCTGGGAGAGAACCCAGGCATCCTTGCGCCCAGCCATCCCCGTGTGGTGTTATATGTGGCTGTTCCCCAGCTGCCCGCCCCAGAAGTGGCTGCATCCAGGGGCAGGCCTGGCACCTGAAGGAGATGTAATCGTCCTGGTTGGCGAAGGTGATGACCCGCTTGCTGTCCTCCTTGGGCACAGGGAAGAGGTACTTGAGAATGCTGCAGACCTGAGGGGCAGAGACCGAGAAACACTGGGTTGGGGGGAGGAGGGGGGGGTGAATTGAGACCCTACAATAAGAAGCCAGTCCCCAGATCGTTCTAACGCCCCCCAGGAGACCCTACAATAAACACACCGCGCACAAACATTCCCCAGAGACCCTACACTGTCAAAGCAGTCTCCGCCCACCTCCCCTGGCAGCCCCAGTCCCTAGAAGACCCTACAATAACACAGCCAGCCCGGGCAGTCCCAGAAGACCCGACAAGGACCCCGGCGCCCCCAGCTGACCCGCTGGCCCAGGCGGGAGGTGAAGTTGTGGAAGATCAGGTGGGGGGTGGCCTCGGACATGGTGCCAATGTCGGGGACTTCGTGCCGCATGACCACGTTGCAGAGGGTGAAGAACGCCGTGGGGCCGAAGGGCAGGTGAGAGACGATCAGCCCATCTGGGGGGAGGGGAGAGGGGGTGGTGGTTAGCAGTGGGGGGGGGCTGGGATGGAGCTGTCCTGCCC